TCCACCTGCCGCCGTGTCCAGCTGGTCCTGGGCTCTGGTTCTAGCCTGATACCATGTAGAGGTTATGTAACAAGTTCCTGAGTGACCATGGCCCAGGACCAGACCCCTCGGATGCCCATGGCTGTTTGTGCTCCTGTTCTCTCCCAGTGACAAAACTCCATCTGATCATGCAATTGTCCTCAAACTTCCTGCCCGTCCAGCCCCTGGGGACAGCTGGAAAATAGCCTAGATCGTGAGTAGGCCCTGGCTCCAGACCCCACCCCGGATCCATGCTAGGCAGGTCACGTCCCCAATCTGCATTTCGGTTTCCTCACTAGCAAAATGAAAGGCCGAGGGATCAAGTGAGAGAACTCCTCATTCTTTAATTCAGCTGTTACTCACTCATTAGCCCCTGCTCTGGGCTACCTGCTAAGCTAGGGCAGGAAGAACTGAAACATGCCCCCCCCCATGCTCTACCCTCAACTCTCTCATTCCAATGTTTTCAGTTATGAAGTGGCCCAGAGGGTCTCCAGGCATCCCTAGAGCTGGAGCAATTAGGGGTGACTTCCTGAGGGAGGTGGCACCTCTATCCTGAAGGACAAGAAACTTCAGAGACTGCAGGTGACTGGCTTAGATGTTCACCAGACCTGTGAATTGAATCGAGGATTTATTGTCTACACCTAAAAGTCACTTCCGTTACCCTCATCCTCTGAGCAGGATGCTCACCCATCATCTTCCCTGGCATGATCTCTGTCTGCCAAGGTGTATGATCCCTGAGCTGAAACCTGCCCTCGGGCTCAGCTTCTAGTGGTGACCACTTCTCAGGGAACAAACAGGACATTTTCTGTGCCTGGGTGGTAGTGACTCCACGGGCCATATGAGTCAGGGTTGAGGGTGAGGGCAGCTCTCCGCAGAGTTTCCATGTAGACCTACCCTCCTTCCCCACATCGTGTTGTGCCTTTCTGGGGATCTAGGGAACACTGGTTCCTGAGCACCACCCATCCTCAACCCTCAGTCTTCTGTAACAGTCAGCCCTCATGGAGCACATCCCAGCCCAGCCCACACTGCCCTGGACCATAACAGAAAGAGGTTACTGTAGCATGAGTTCTAAATGGTGTTAATATTAAAAACCCGGAGTCAGGTATTAGGGGGTGAAAGCTGAAATATCAGAGAAGCAGAGCAGCCAGCCACTAGAGTTCTTACCTCTACGAAATCTCTAGAAAGGAAAAGAGGAGTGGAGCTCCTGTCTCCTCCTGCCTTATATTCCTGCCCTCCCCCGCAGCCATATCATTTCCTGTCTTTCTGTACAGACCTCCAGACCTCTATGGTTAACTAGTGCTAGCTCCGCCCTCTGACCTTCCGGTAAGCTTTGTTTGTTAGAGTACAAACAAGATATCACAGGTCACCTTACATCCCCAGGGTCATTCAGTTCTATATTGCCACTCTGCCTTGTGTCCAGATGGTGGGATTCCTGCTCCCACAAGTCAGTGGGGTAAACTGAGGCTCAGAGAGACATGATACCCCAGATACGGACAAAGAAGTCCAAGATAAGAATCTGTCTGTTCCAGGGACAAGCCTCTGCGGGGCAGAGGTGGTATCCATCGTCAAGATATCTCAGTGTGTGTCCTCAGATTCCTCATCCCTAACATACCCAGGCTGGGGTACAGCCTAGTAGAGAACGCACAGCTCCTGGATTCCTTTCCCTGTACTGTGAAAGAGAGAGTAGGGAAAACTCCTGCCAACTGCCTAGGCTGGAGGGCACAAGGAAGGCAGGAATGGAAATGGTCAGGGAGCCCAGCATGCCCCAGATCATGCTATTGGGTGCTCCCTGTGACAGCTGCTGTCCCACTCAGCTCCCTAGCACAGAGATAGATGCTTGTGGATGCAAAAACAACTCCTGACCCTGGCAGGACAAGAGTGATGGCCATAGGTCTGTGGGTGGAGTTCAGTGGCAGACCAGGTGCAAGGCCCATCCTCAACAAATAGGGAGAAAGGAAGATGGCCCCTGCGCTGAGGTGTAGGGTATGGCTTGTGAGATTGTCCCACTTACTAAATTCTTCTCAGTCCTCAGTCTCAGCCTGACTATCCTCCAGGCACTCTTAGCTCTTCAGATAGTCTCCTGAAGCTCCTAAGACAGGAAATCAGTCTTCCAGGAAACTGGGGAGGTGGTGGCCTTGGGAAGCCATGCCAATTCTAGGCCTAGCTTACTGGCTATGAAGTGGGCTAGAACTCATGGTGAAGAGGAGAGCAAAGGATAAGAAGGATACAGTGGGGACCAAGCTCTCTAGGGGTGTTGATATCAGTCCCCTACAGCATCATAGTCTGATAATGGCAACCTCTGCCTGACCAGCTTTGGGGCACAAAATAGTTCCTGCTCTTACCAGCAGATAGCTTCCCTGGCTGACAGGCTGACATCTGCTACAGAGCAGGTCTGTATAGTGCAGGTAACAAATACCTGTACCCCTAGCCAGTGACAAGTGTCCATGGTGCTATGTAAACCTAGTACCAGAGCATCTGTGCCTAAGCTGAGGGGCTAAGTAGGAAAGTCAGTCCTGGTGGGCAACAGAGATTCTTAACTATGGATAGAAACCTGGGGACCATAAGTGACACAAAGTGCTAACAGGAAGGCTGGGAGGAGACTCAGCAAGGGAGAGAAATCTACTGCGGCAATTGACATCCCTTTTTCTTGGGCAGTGTGGGGACCAGAGGCTGGCCTGGGGCAAAGGAGAGAGAAGGAGGTGCTTGGGATGGATGGGAGGGTGATGGATGGATGATAGGTAGGTAGAAGATGGATAAATGGGTGGATTGGAGGATGATGGATGGAGGATGGGTGGGTGGATTGACAGATGATGGGCTGATGGAGGATAGTATGTAGATGGACTGATAAAGAGTGGGTAAATGGGTGGATAGAAGATGGATGATTGATAGGTGAATGGGTGGTTGGTAGGTGGATGATGGGTGGATGGATGATGGGCAGGTAGATAATGCATGAAGGAGGGGATGATGGATGGTAGATGGGGGATGTGTAGACGGAGGATAGATGGGTGGGAAGATGATGGATAGATGAATGGGTGGTAGAAGGAAGGAAAAGGAAGGAAGAAGAAAGAAAGAAAGAAAGAAAGAAAGAAAGAAAGAAAGAAAGAAAGAGGAGAGGTAAATGAAGGGATGAACCGAAAGAAGAGGAAATCAACAGATGAAGATTTGTGATAAATGGAAGGGAGGGGAAGGTCAGGAGAGAGAGGAAGACATGTGTTGGATATGTTAACCAAGAGTCCACAGGTGGTACACCAGTGCCCAGGGGAGCAGACAAAGCAGCATAGACAGAAGTTATCTCTACCCAACAAGGTGCTAAGAAAGTTTAGCTGCAGAGCATTCCCAACAAGTCCTGTGTGTGCTGCAGTGAGGCTGGTTCTAGAAGAGCCGGGTAAGCTCTGTCTCAGTTCCTTAAGTCAGGGGCTCCATAAGGGGTGGACAACCTTAAAGTGCCTCCTTGCACTAGTGTTCAATAGAAGCTGGGCAGGACTTTTTTTTAAACTGGTTTTTCAAGAAGGGTTTCTTTGTAAAACAGTCCTGGCTGTCCTGGAACTCAATCTGTAGACCAGGCTGGCCTTGAACTCACAGAGATCTGCCTGCCTCTGCTGTCCTAGTGCTGGGATTAAAGGCAGCTCTGGGCAGGGCTTCTTATGAGCTCTGATGTCATACAGGGCCTGTAAGGATGGTTTATGAAGTTTCTTGTGGTGAAAAGGAGACAGAGATTTTTTTGTTTTGTTTTGATTTTTTTTTTTTTTTTTTTGGTTTCCAGAACCCTGAGGGAGGCCTTTGTTGAGAACCATCTTGTTTTCAGATCAGAAGAAGCTTGGTCTCAGTTTGGGGAATGGAGAGTCTATAGCTATGGGATCTCTGCTGTGGGAATCAGGCTGGGATCAAGGCAGGATTGTGATGTATGTAGGCCAAAGCCAGAGCCCAGGGACAGTGAGTCAGAGCAGTGTCTGCATCTAGGTGGCTCTGCCCTGAGCCTCCAGTGACTTGGTGCTCTGGTACCCACTGGGCACAACAGTTATTTGCAGGCCTTGGGCCCCCTGCCCTCTGGGGTCTTCCTGGGGGCTGTGGGTGGAAAGAAGCCCTCCAGTGGGCGGTAGCCTGTGAGTCACTGTCCCCAGGGGCCCCTGCCTGGGAAGCCCCAGCTGCCAGACCTAGGCCAGGCCCTGAGCAGCTGTCAAGTGGGTGAGGCTCCATCTGGGCCCCAGTATCGAAAGGCACCAGGGGCCCAGACTCCAATGGTCCACTGTTGGAGGGAGCCCAGCCTCTCCCATGATTCTATAGAAGGTTGGTTGGCATTCAGAATCCAGTGCCAGGCACCCAGGCTCAATCCCCTTCCCAGGCCTGTGACCTGTGTGCCTTAGTTTCCACAAGTGGTTGACAAAGCTATTGAAATCCACTTTAGGGGCCATGGAGAAAATCGGATGTTTTTGCTCATACCTATTGGGAATTCCTCCTTGTTCAGGTGCCTGGAGTTCATAGAGGTCAGTGGAAGGTGGGCCAGAGAGGAGAAGACACAGTGACACCTAACAAAGTGTAGCCTGGCTACAACTGGGGAACCCAGGGCCCAATGGATTCCCTGGGAGGAGGCTGCTGTCCTAAGGCACAGTCCCAGTTTGGTCTTCTTTTCCTCTCTATCCAGGCTTCTTCCAGAGCCAGCAGCAGAGCAGACCCTTCTCAGTCCTGTGGGCAGGGCTGTAGCCACGGGGCGGTGTTGGGTTTAGGTCTCTGGGGACTGGTGGAGGATGTGGGCCCGCCCTTGCCTCCGCAGCCTCCCTCCCTCAGTATTGCCTCTCCAGACCCACCCTGGCCTCTGGACGAACAGGGCTCTGGGCTCCCAGAGCCCCCACTTTCCCTGACAGTGGACGCCCCCTCCGTCCCGCCCCAGTGACTCACTGCTCCCCTGGCCCTCTGCCACTCCTGTCTCTTGGCAGGCAGCAGGCTCAAGGTTGTGCTGAAGCCACAGGGTCTGGAGTGTGAGGGACGTTCAGTTGTCAGGGTCTGGAGCTCCAGTCCTCGGGCAGCAACAGAGGCCATCCTGGGATAGCACCGCCAGGAACCTGCAGTGGCCTGGGGGAGTCAGTGCCTTCCCGGCTGGCTCCCTGTTCTTTGGACCTTTTGTTTCTCATCGGCATGAAGAAGGAAGTGACCTGAGAGCCTGAGACAAGAGCCATCCCCTGGCTGGGAGGAGAACCGGGGTCCAGGGCAGTGGCAAGGCCCCCCAGCCACTGCACCTCACTGATCCAGGCATGAAGGGCGATGGTGGTGCTATGTGGGGCCTCATGTGGAAGTACTGCATCTCCGTGAGGACCCTCAGGTACCAGGGTCAGGGTGTGGAGGCGGCTTTGACCTAGCGGGCCAGGTGAGGGACCTGTGTGGTTTGGAGGTCCGGGCGGGAACAGGATGGAGGAAGGAAAGTTGGAACCTGGCACCCTCCAGAGAGATGTGGAGTCTAATGGCAAGGAGGGAGGCAGGAAGGAGAGTGGACCAACAACCAGGGCTTGTGCTGGCTCCTGCCCCCCGGGGAAGGCCACCGGAGGTACAATGAACAGGAGGCACTTGTTGCATAAGACACCATTGTCTTTGAAGTGGGACTTGGGTGCTCCCCCCCACCCCCACCCCCACCTCAGGCCCTGTTAACCCTGAATGGACAGGACTGTACTCTATTCTTCAGGTGTAGTGCGTGACGATTTCTCTACCCTCGACATCAGTCCCCTCATGGCAGGGAGCAATGTCCAGAATCAGGTGCCAGGCTGTCCCCTCAGACCTGTGAGCACACTGACTCAGCCTCGTCCTGTGAATCGTCCTGTCAGAAGAGGCTTTTTAGGATTCATGTGAGGATTAAATGTGACCCAGCCCTGAGTGCCAGTAGCCACCAGTAGTGGAGTGTAATTACTGCAGCCACTGTGACATCCATTACCCTACCTCCTCAGAGGTCTGTGGGAGGTGCCTGGAAGGTGCCCCTGTTTAGATAGAATAAAGGAAGGTTGAGCAGGGCTTTAAGACCCCTTGGTAGCGCACACCTTTAATACCAGCGCTGGGGGAGGGGGTGGTAGCAGAGGCAGGCTGATCTCTGTGAGTTCGAGGACTCCAAAACAATACAGAGAAACCCTGTCACACACACACACACACACACACACACACACACACACACACACACACACACACACACACACACAAAGAACCCTTGGGGAGACAGACCACCTAGGGACAGGGTTCACCTGGGGTGGGGTAGGGGGACACCTGGACTTGGACTTGGTTCCACCTTCTGGCACATCTAGTAGGAGCTGCCTAGAGCAGGATGCCACTGGATCTTAGGCAAGGCTGGGCTTTCGCCTCTGAGGCTGGGATCATAGGGTCTGTAATTTGCATATAGGAGGACCTAGAAGTGCCACCCAGTGGGGATATGCCTTGGTGTTTTGAATACTTCCTGCTGGTGTGCATTTTACTTAAAGAGAATGTTTTCTAAAGCATACAGGAGTAAAGAGCCCTTTATCTTTCCAGGCTCTCTGTCTGGTATATCAACTATGCAAAATCCCCCTCTCCCTCTCTATCCTCCCCTTTCTCCTCCCCCCTTTTCCCTCTTCCCTTTCTTTCCTACCCTCCTGCCTTCCTCCATCCTCCACAAAATATTTGTGCTATCATATAAAAAATACTGTTAGCGGAAAAACAGCATAATTCAGAATAAGATGTCGTGTTGATGATGGCAACGAGGATGATCAAAACAGAGGTATTCAGGAACCCCCGGGTGCTGCTGAGGTAAAACCTGCTGAGCTCCCTAGAAGCCCAGGGGAAAGGGGAAATGCAGCTGCACAGTTCACGCCCGCTTTAATAAGAAGAGCATGTACAGTAGCCACAGTTGCTCGGCTACAAGGCAAGCATGTCTAGAGCTCTGGATGGTGGGCCTTGGGCCCAGACAGATTTATAGTTTCCAAGCCAACAGTGAGAGGCATTCTTCTTGGACAGGGATGCCAACTGGTTGTGGGAACAGAGAGGCAGAGTCCAGCCCTGGAGTGAGTCACTGGCCACCTTCTGCTTCTGTCCATGATGGACCTCCTTGGGTGGGTAGTTCAGAGGCCAGGCCAGGCAGGGCCCCATCAAGTGCCTGAAGTAGGTTTCCCTGCCTCATTCTTTCCTAGGGCTTCTAGGGGCTGGCTCACTGGAGGCCCCTCAGGGACTGTTTGAGAATGAAGTGGTCCAGCATGGAGAGGACCACTGTGTCTTGCATTTCTGAGTAGCTGTTGATACAAGCGGTCACTCTGTGCCTCAGTTTCCTCACCCACAGAATGGGAACATTGTAGAACTTCCTGTGGGAAGGTGAGAAGTGCTGCAGCCACTGGTAGTTTTCAGTGATGGATGGTCACTTTCCCTTTGGTGATGAAAGAGCAGCTTGGGGTGGATGTGGCACTGTGATCAGCACCGGGTTTGCCCAGTCCTATACTCATCTCCCATAGGAACCATGCGTCCTGTGCTTATAGAGGAGGATGGATCTGGGGCGGGGTGTTGTCCAGGAGTAGTGTATTCTTTCCAGATCCCCACCTCCCATCCCCAGAAAGCTGAGGCCATTCCCCAGAGCCAGATATGAGGCGAGAGCCAGTCCAAGCAGGCTCTGGGGGCATTCTCAACCCCAGATTGCCAGGGGAGACCTAAATCCACAAATCTGTGGTGGGGTGGAGCTGGCAGCTGCTGGGGAACAAATTGGAGGGTTGTGATGGGACAGCACATACTTTTCCACTTTCGTCTTCAGATTCCCCTCTGCATGAGCCTGTCGCCCCTGGCTGGGTCCCACTCACATCTGGAAAAGCGCGAGGTGTACATAGAGCTCTTGCTGCTGCCGGCCCCGGCTCTCTGCCAAGAGGAGCCAAGGTTCCAAGACAAGGTCTCTGTGAGGGCCATGCTGGTTCCTATTGGCTCCTAGTGCAGGGCCATCTGGATCCAGTGCCCAGGCACTTGGAAGATGTATCTTTGTCTGTTGTGGACTTTGCTAGGCTGTTTGCATATCCAGGGAGAGGGGCAAACTGAGCCAAACTCCAGGACAAGATTAACAGTGAACTCTGGTGAACAGTGCCAATGGAGCACATAGGGGTGACCCCGGCTTCAACTCCCCTCCTTTCCTGGAGTTTCAGTGGTGGGGGAGGGGGGTCTGTGGCAGTGGGCAGAGAGGAAAAGGAGGGAACACAGGCTCAGGAGGGGCCCCCTTAAGTTAGAAAGTTGGCTTAGCCTTGTGAAAATCACTTTGGAGACTTTTGGAAGGCAGTAACAGGGTGACTGCAAGCTGGCCTCAGTGTCACTTGTCAGCTGTTGTGTTTTTGTTTTTGTTTTTGTTGTTGTTGTTGTTTGACGACCAGGCCCCCTAGATGTTTTACCAATGAGCTTCATCTGGTGACATTAATACTGTAAGTGACTTTCAGAAAATGCTCAACCCTCCTCTCTCTATGGGTCCTCCTTACCCTATACCTCACCAGAACTTGTTCTCATCAGGTTGTATTCCCAGCCTGTCCCCCACAGGCCATATCATCAGTGTTATAGTTAGCTTTAGCTGTCAACTTGACATAAAGCTCGAGTCACCTGGGAAGAGGGAACCCCAACTGAAGAATTACCCAGATCAAATTGGTCTGTGCCTATGTCTGTGGAACATTTTCTTAATTGATATCGAAGGGTCCAGCCCACTGTGGTTGATTCCACCCCTTGGAAGGTAGGCCTGAGCTGTATAATGAAGGTAGCTGAGCAATCCAGTAGCAGTCTTCCTCCTCCATGGTCTCTGTTTTAGTTCTTGCCTCTAGGTTCCTGCATTAGTTTCTGTGTGGACTTCCCTCATTGAAGGACTATGACATGGAAGTGTAACCCAAATAAACCCTTCTGTTCCCCAAATTGCTTTTGATTAGGATGTCTTATCCCAACAGCAGAGGCAAATTAGGACACTCAGCCCATTCCCCAAAGACCTTATCCTTGCCCTGTCTCCCATCAGACTGAATCCTCAGCCTGTCCCCATCAGGCTCAAGAATGACTGTCACATACTGGTTTATTTGGGCAAGAAAGATGGGTTTGTCCCTTGAGAGCCCAAGAGGCAATCACACCTCCTAGACCAGGCTGCCCCTGGACACACAGTGCTGATTAGGGCAGGCTCAAAGGAGCAGACCCACCCTGTAGGCCCTTCTCCCCTTCTGCTGCAGCTGCCTCTGGGCAGGAGGGCTGGGAGCAGATGGCATCCAAACCCTGAAAGCATCCCAGGAGCTCTCTGGACAATCAGCCATCTGGTGCCCCCCCCCCCCCACGGAAGGCCCTGAGCCTGTGCCTGCCCTGGCACCTATGACAAGGGGAGCCTCTTTTCCAATTGGAGCTCCCTCCTCCCTTGCTGCTGTGCTCCTTCCTTCTCCTTGCTGTGTGGCTGGCTGAGCACTGTGGGTCCCTGACTCACCTGCTGCCCCATCCTGATGAACCCACAGTGGTCAGGATTCCCCTGACTCCTCCCTCTGTGGACACAGCCTATGCAGTCCAATGCCCTTGAGCAGGACTTGAGCTGAGCATGGGTCAGGGAAGAAGACTGGAAGCAGAGTGAAGCCACCACCTCCTTTCCTTCCTCTGGGTACTGCTCCCATGGTACTGCTCTCCATTCGCACCTGGACTCAGCCCTGCAAGTTACCCTACTACAGTGTTCCACTGTCCACTCCTCTACTGTGTCTTCAGTTTATAGAGTTGCTGGCTTGGAACTTCCTAGATTGCAGAGCTATGAGGTGGAAAAAAAACAAAGTGGTCTGCGCAGGTAGCCTTGAATGGAAGCTGACTAAGAGAGTGAGCTGGAGAAGACCTCTGGGCAGAGGGAACAAGTATAATGGCCCTGGGGTAGGAGCCACCTGTGTGTGTGCAGATACATGTAGCGCCTGCCTCCGGGCCGTTACACTTACCTTGCATTACATCTGTAGTTGGAGGCTGGGCTGTTAAGCAGAAGTGAGGAAGGAAGTGGGCAGGGCCAGCCCCTGAGGAGGACATGTATATTTTTGGGTTGGAGAGACCTGAGGTTTCTAGGCAATCACTCCATTTCCATGAAGAAAGGAGACCATTGCAGGGAGGGAGTTGCGTGGCAATAAGGAGATGATGGCCAAAGTCTAGATAGAAGACCCTGTCACTCAAGGGAGACAGTACAAACTGCAGATGACCACAGTGAGAATTCAGACAGGGATAGCAATATTCTCCCCACCCCCTAGAGTGAGAATATAGGGCATCAGAGAACCCTGCTGACCCCAGAAGATGAGGATGACCACCGTGCCCTGCCAAAATGACACCTGTGGATCCCACTTAGTCCCGAGCAGGTTTCAA